CTGGGGTGCCTGGCCAGCCTGGGTGAGGGGCTGATGGCTGTTTGCAGGCTGGCCACAGCCCCTTCAGGGTGGGGATCCACCCTGGGGTGCCTGGCCAGCCTGGGTGAGGGGCTGATGGCTGTTTGCAGGCTGGCCACAGCCCCTTCAGGGTGGGGCTCTCCGCTGGGGTAGCTGGCCAGCCTGGGTGAGGGGCTGATGACTGTTTGCAGGCTGACCATGTCCCCCAGCCACCCAAGCTCCCAGTGGAGGCTAGCTGGAAGCAGGTATCTGGGATTTATTTATCTTCTATAATTGAAACTTTGTTGCCTTTAGTGGAGGCCACAGCCAGCCAGGGAAGGTGGGAAGCTTGGCCTTCTCCATCGCCGGGGCAACCAAGCCTCCTGCTTGCTCCAGCTCTGCCAGCCGCCATCTTGGTTGGGTTAATTTGCATATAGTCGCTCTGATTGGCTGGTGGGCGTGGCTTGGGGCGTAGCAAAGGTGCAGTCAATTTGCATGTTTCTCTTTTATTAGATTAGATGAATTCCCCAGAACAGTATTACTGAATTTAAATCCTTCTATGCAGATATTAGTAGCGGGATACCTTACTTTTTTTGGTCATTTTATCTATTTTACTTTAAGATCCAGAGGCAATATCCAGGTATTCATGATTACTACAATAGATTTTTTCCCTGAGTATCCTTGCCATGAATTAGAAGTGAGATTTTAAAATAATCATCTTGCCTTAAACCTTAAAGATTATTTCAGTATCACCTAGAAATGCAATACAGTATATATGTCTAGAGCAAAAAAATTAATCATTATTAAAAATAGTCAAGATAAAATGATTGTTTGTAGTTGTAAGAATCTTCATTTTTACAAATTCAGTCTCACAGCTAATTCATATATTTACTAAGAACTAGATTTTAAAGAAAAACCACCCCACACAAGTAAATTGGTATTTTGAAATAAGCCAGTGATGTCCATGCATGCCTTCCTTTTAAAAAAATTTTTTTTTTGTTAATACTCACCCAAGAATATTTTTCCATTGATTTTTTTTAGGGAGAGTGGAAGAGAGGGAAAGAGAGAGAGAAATATCCATGTGAGAGAAGCACATCAATTGGTTGCCCCCTACACAGGGCCTGGGCTGGGGAGGAGCCTGCAACCAAGGACCAAGTATGTGCCCTTGACCAGAATCGAACCCTTTGGTCTGCAGGCTGATGCTCTATCCACTGAGCAAAACTGGCTAGGGCTATACCTTCCTTTTTAATCTTTCAGTGAATAGGACTAAGAAATAATAAAATATTATGATTTTTAAAAATTCAAAGGAACACAAACTATTAAAAACAATTAAGGAAATTACCTGCCATCAAATGTAATTATATGTGGGTCAGTAAATGAATAGCAGTAAGCAGTTGGGACATCCTTTACTCTGACCTTAAAAGCAAAAATATTTTCAGTAAATAATATCATTAATGTTATTTAGTGATATATAATAAATTGCTTAGCAATCTGAAAAAAATTAGTTATTTTTATCATATTGAAAATAGTATTTTAAAATTAAAATAACATTTAAAATTTTTGAAATAAAAAGTTTTCAAGGTGTGGTGATAAAATATATATATCATTTTTAAAGCTTGATTTTTGAAGGTATATTTGTGATTTCTCAACCTGGATGCTGTCTGGAGTGTAGCTGTTCCACAGGAAATCCTCGTTAACTATAGGTTCCACTATAATGTCTGTAACTCTATTTCCATCGTGGGAAAAATCAGTCACAGCAGTGTAGTAAGCAAGAGCATGGCTACAGGTTCCATTAGCACAGGATGACATCTGGTGAAGGTCCACGTGACAGGAAGACAGTACCAAATTTAAACCTAGGTCTTTACCTATGTTACAAAGAAAAAATACATTGTGGATTTTTGTAAGGAAATACACCAGCCAAAGTATGTAGTCAGTTGATTAACACAGAACATTAAAATGAGAGATTATTCTTAAATTACTTTTTCTTACTTAAAAAATATGGTTGTAGTTTTTGGCTAAATAAAACCAAAGTTGTAACTCTGCCTGATCTTATAAGTACCACACGCTAACCGATTGTGCCATTGGAGCTCCCCACCTGATCTTTACAAATACTTAGTCAACTTCAATATACACATATATATGTACATGCATATTACTATTCCCAATAGTTTTTTTTTTTTGGGGGGGGGTGTTAATCCTCACCTGAGGATAATTTTCCATTGATGTTTAGCAAGAGTGGAAAGAAGGGGGAAAGACAGAGAGAGGGAAACATCGGTGTGAGAGAGACATTGATTGGTTGCCTCCCCTACCGCCCCCCCTCCCCCCGCTATGGAAGCTGGGGATTGAGCATGCAACTGAGGTACGTGCCCTTGACCAGAATCGAACCTGGGACCCTTCAGTCTGTGAGCTAATGCTCTATCCACTGAGACAAACTGGCTAGGGCTCCAATAAGTTTTAAACTCATATGCACTTGGATAAAATTCAAAAGCATTATATAAAATTCATCTTTGCTTCTGTAAAAAAAAATATAATTCTAGCAATGAGTAGCACAATTTGACTTTCTGTATAAAAATTGGACCTTGGGTCTGGGTATGTCTTAACATTTTTTAAGGCTCGAACTCATGTTCTATCCATTGAGTGATAGCAATGATTATTAATACAAGGTTCACCAAACTTAAAAAATAGAAAAGAAATTAAGGTAATTCTACATTAGTAATAAACTTTCTACCTCTTTTCACCTCCCAAATTTTCCAACATATTCAGAACCTCAAGATGCTTCCTTATCTATGGAACAAAAAACAAGAAAAAATAATTTGGAAAGAAAATGGTAGCAGAAGAGAAGGAACTCCAGGAATTTGTATAACTAAACAAAAAGAATAGATTCCTCCAGAAAATATCTGCAAAGAATGCTTGCTCACACATCCAATGAATTATTACAAAATCCTTCTGAGAATCAAAGAGGAAAAAAGAAGTCTTTAAAAACTCTATTTTCTACATAGCATTTTTGGATATAAATTATATTTGTCTAACATAGGTAGTCTGCACTAGATTCAAAATTTCTGAAAAATTTTTTATCTTCATGCACCTTTTCTAGGAATATATGCTTTTTATGCACTTAACAAATAACAGAAATATCCAGACTTTTAAATGGCTTCCTAAACTGAATATGGAAAATATCTGGCTTAGATATAGTCCCTGATATCATTTTCCCTGGTTTATGGTATGAGGGCCGAGTACTATTCCCCTTAACCCTGTGAAAAAGCAGCATAGTCTTTGCAGAAACAGACTAGGATACACCGACCTGTTCTTAATGAAAGTAGAGATGTAATGCAAATACACTTAAGGAAGTTCCTGTGAGATGAGGGATATCTAGAATAAAACCCAGAATTTTTCCTCCAGAAAAAAACATTTTTTTTAATTGACAAAGAACAAGAACATACAAACTTCTAAAATGTAGAAATACATTTAGGCTGTTTTATATCACTTGTAGTAATGCTTGACTTGTTGAAAGAATTGAGAACATGCAAATACAGCTTAAAGTCTATTTGTAACTGAAGGAAATCTTTGCTTAATGTAATTTTGGAAGACATCAATAACATCATCCTCTTATTATTTTGCCTCCTAAACTGTAGTAAAATTTGCACACTATGCTTTCAGGGGTACTTTGAAGTATAATTGTTTCTAGTCGTCTGAGACAGAGGGTTTAATTTCATAGTTGTGAGCTGTATTTAAAAATAGAGTGTTGCTCTCACGGTGCTCCTGAAATTTGAGTGAGTAACTGGGTATTATCCACTAACCCCGTTTACTGTCAAGTATCTTGGAATAGGCTCTCTTGACTCCTTTATACCTTCACATCATCTCCTTTCCTGGGTGTACCATTCCATGAGACACTCTCTCCCATAGCATTTTTATCCTTTGTTTCTCTGGTTTAATTAGGAATAATATAGACATAAAGACATAGATGCATTTTATTTGGTGTATTTACTAAATAAAATTGTATGTCTTATGGTGAAAATCTATGCTAATAGGATTACAATCTCTCTTAAAAGTTATAGTTTAAATTATATATTTGTTATGTGACAGTGTTATGTTTCAATTATACATTTGTTATGTTATGGCTGTGACAGTGACATGTATGTCATCATGTATCATACAATCTACATAATTAGTAATTTAAATAGAAGACGTTTTAAAAGATCTTAAACATAAGCTTATGTTAGGGAGAGAAGTGCAAAGTGCACTATGAGATCCGTGGTGGACAAGCTTGAACTTTTAGCATAACATCACCCCTCGCTCATTAGATATGATTTGGAACACATTAAAGAGCACTTGGTTTACTCAATCTCTGAAAACAAAGCAAAGAAAAAAATTAAACAGGAAGATAAGGAGGAGAGAAAAAGGAAAAGGAGAAGAAAAAAGGAAGAGATAGAGGAGAAAGAGGGGAAGGGGGAGGAGGAGGAGGATATTATTTCATTCCTGTTTTGTTATTTTTTTTAAATTTATACTTTGAGCCCAGGAGGGATAAATGTGGGTTGCAATGTGGACTTCTCTGGCAATCGTAAACTTGGCTCAGTGTTATTAATATGATTGAGCTATTATTTGATGTAAACATGCAACACAATGAATTATGAGCACACTTCAGTGACTTTTTGTAGAGGAAAATAGCATTAGTTATTACTTGAAATCTAATAATAAAATTGAATGGATTTACTATATTACCTTGATCAACAGTTTTCAGTTTTAGTGAGATTTTACATTCCTGATCAAGCTCACTGAATTCAGGACAAACGACAGGAATTGTGCTCTCTATCCTCAACTGGTATTCTTTTCCATCTTCTGATATAGTGCTCAATTCAGGTTGTAACTGGTACAAGAAAATATGTAAAGCAGTCATGTAAAAATAGGATTTAGTTCTATGATACAATAATTTTGAAAGGTATTTTTTCTAAAGTAACAGGTAGTAATAACTTAAGCACTGGAATTTTTTAATTACACAAGATCAATGAAAACCAAACCCTTAAAAACATCAGCAACACAGAAAATTCCATGGAGTTGCCGTACTGCTCTGAGTTTGGGTATTTAGTTCTCCAACACATCGTAGTCAGTTTGGAGCCTGCCATAGTGATTCTGGTTCTGTGGTGGGCACTGGAGAGTGGAGGAGACAAAGATTCCTATATCCTCCCATTTGCTTGCTAATGTTTACTGACACACTAATGGAAGAGTCAGTTTATCCTTAGTCATAAATATTATCCCTAATATAAATTAGAAATCTAAGTAGTTTTAACTCATAAATCAAAACATCATTGTCACCTGAAATATCTCAACCTTCAGCTTATTTCTCAGCTCCTGCTTTCCATGGTTGGAGTTGCTGAGTACTGAAATCTATCCTAGTTCATACGTGAATCGTTTTTTGAGGCAGGAAGTTTTTATGCATTCTTGGTTCTTGTGTAGTTTTCATAACAGATGGTTCTTAGTACAGAATACTCTCTCTGTTAGCCTAGAAACAGTGCCTGAGGGCTGACTGCTGTTCCTCATAGTTTACTGAGTTCTCACCAATGTAGATCCAAAGGTTGTGTTCCCAAGGTCTGAGCTCCACTTCCCCTCCCACTGTGACTATGCTACTCTGACAAGGTAGCTCACTCTTCTCACTCTTTTCCCTGGTCCCTGTTGTGTATAAATGGTCTTTATTCAAGAACAGGCTTTGAACTGGTTCTGAATCCTATTCTTACAATCTATCACTTATCCATCTTGTTCTTGAACTAGAGATGAGTCCAGATCAAACTCCAGTACTATGGCCGACTCCTAGAAGGTGCGCAGCACTTGCCTGCCTAGACCTTTTGGTACTGCCCATTCCTTCTACCAATCTGGAGTCCCTGTCATCTGCTGGAATAGCTCATCAGTTCTTGAACCCCAGTGCTAACAGTAGTGACCATAGACACTGACTGTTTAGATGGTGCAATTTTTGCAGTTAATAAAGTCTAGATTTCTGGGCCAATTCTACTCCAGCCAGAGGCTCTGGTCACTTGATCCTGGCACCTGCCTTCCAAAATGCATGCTAACTAAATATTGATATTCTAACTTTTACTTACAAAATGGAATAAATTATGAGAATAGAACTTGTGCTTTATTTTAATTTGAGCTATTTCTAGAAAAAAAGTAAGTATATTCCAACTTTAGTTCATTAATAGAGGCCCTCAGAATTTGCTCTTCATTAGAATTATTGGGGTTATTTTTCAAAAATACAGAATCTTGGGTCCCAACATCAGACTGTGATGAGGTCCTATAACTAGCATCCCCAAATCACTGTGTGGAAAACACAGTTCCAGAGGGATAATCTTTCTGATCCATCCCCACTGCTACGTACCTTAATGCCTGCAAAAAATTCTTGACTTTCGGTAGCTAAACTTTTTACTTGTGGTTTCTCCAAGAAAAAGATAGAAGCCGTACAGAATATCTATAAATATAGTTAACAAATAATCATTTAGCAATAACATTATGGAGAAAATATGTGTAAATTATTATATTTAAGTACTTAATTTCCATTTTTGCTAGCACATAAGAAATAATAATTTAAAAACTTGCTTAGCCATGGACATGAGCAATAGGGTAGTGATGACCTAGGGGGTGGGTAGAGGCTGGGAGGAGGGGAGAAAGGGGGGGGGAAATGGAAGATATCTGTAATATTATCAACAATAAAAATATTTTTTAAAACTTGCTTAACATTGAGAAATAATTTTATCTTTATAAATTATTCAAGCCTCAACAAATTATTGTAGAATTTGTATTTAATATATATTTAAAAGTGGATAATAAGTGATATAATCATTGAAAAAATGAAAATATTTCTAGAATAAAAGTAATCAATTTAAGAAAGAGACATTAAGTTACAAGGGTTCATTGATAATAATCAGGAAATTGCTAGATTCAGATACTCATTGTTATTAAGATTGCTGACTCATCCAATTATCACTGAATTTGGCACAATTACCAAGGAAAAAAGAAAAAGAAAAACATTCGTGCTTTATATTATGGGGACAAACACTATTTTTAGGATAGGATCTAAAAAATCCAGTTTTGCAAGTTAATACATTCACGCAAAGTAAAGAAAACCCAATTACTTTTGAACATACCCTATCGCCAAGTCTGAGATTTATGCCGTCCAGTTCTAAAAGAGAGAATGCCTGAACTGTGGTCTCTTGCTTCAGTTCCTCTTTGACATCTTGAGAAGAAAGCCTAGACCAAGCTATAATAAATCCCACGGAGTTGTTCGTAGGGGAAACATCAAAAGCACACCTACAGAAAACCCTGGACTCAATCAGCTCCACCACAATCTGGGGTCTTCCTGGAGGTGGTGGTGGCAATGAGGCAGACAGCTGACCTGGTGGGAGAAAATGCATAATTTGTAGTTGGACATCTTGAAAAAGAGAGACTGGCTTATGGGGAAAGCTCACAAAGACTGTAACTCAGGGTTTGATATTAAGGGAAATAAAATACATTTAGAAAAATATTCTCTAGCAATCAGCAAAATAGCACATTCTTATTTTGATCCCTAATCACATATATATTGTTAGAGAAATTCATCAGCTTATCAAGCTTATATTAATGTATATTGAATATGTCTACCTAGAAAAGTCAAGCTCTTGAGCAAAAAAGGTAATTTACCTTCTTTTCAGCTATTACCTTTTCTAAAAGATGGAACAAACAAAACAAGGTGTTCTACATTATAATTTTTTTAATATTTTCTATTTGCTTTTTTTCTTTATTGATTAAGTTATTATATATGTATCCTTATCCTCCCATGGCCCCCCCCACTCATACCCTCACCCCCCTGGTGTCTGTGTCCATTGGTTAGGCTTATATGCATGCATGCAAGTCCTTTGGTTGCTCTCTCCCCTTACCCCCACCCTCCCCTACCTTCCCTCTGAGATTTGATGGTCTAATCCAGCCGTGGGCAAACTATGGCCCACGGGCCGTAGTTTGAAATGAATAAAACTAAAAAAAAAAAGACCGTACCCTTTTATGTAATGATGTTTACTTTGAATTTATATTAGTTCACACAAACACTCCATCCATGCTTTTGTTCCGGCCCTCCGGTCCAGTTTAAGAACCCATTGTGGCCCTCGAGTCAAAAAGTTTGCCCACCCCTGTCCTAGATCCTAGACGATGGAAGATGAAAATAGCATCTCATGATGCACCTGCAGTTGGCAGCATTCGCTCCTGGGAGAAATATCTCCGCCAATCTGACTGGCTTATTTTGCTTAGCATAATGTTCTCCAGTTCCATCCATGCTGTTGCAAATGGTAAGAATTCCTTCTTTTTTACTGCAGCGTAGTATTCCATTGTGTAGATGTACCACATACATTACAATTTTTTGTTACAAACTGGTCATTATAATGTAAAATCAAATGACTTACAATTTTACTCTTATAATTTACTCTTATAACTCAACTTGCCATTACTCTGGGATGAAAGAGCTGTTCCTTATGGGAGTGATTATACTATCTTAGTGAAATATACCAATGTTGAAAAATAGTCTTATTCTTTTCATTTTTCTATGAAAATGTTTGGGGTTAAAAATGTTTGAAGAGAGATTCCAGGAGAAACCAAGATGGCGGCATAGGTAAACACTGGAGATTGCTGCCTCGCACAACCACTTCAAAAATACAACTAAAAGATGGAACGGACATCATCCAGAACCACAGGAAGGCTGGCTGAGTGGAAATTCTACAACTAGAAGGAAAGAGAAAAGCACACTGAGACTCAGAGGAGGTGCGGTGCGGAAGTAAAATACAAAGATGTGGAGGTGCATGTGGAGAGGGCTGGCAGCTGAGGACACGGTTGTCTTTTTCAATCGGGAGGGAGTCTCAAGCTCTGAGCTCCAGTTCCGGGTGAGTCTCTGGGGACCCAGACTCATATGGGAGAAACAGGACTGTCTGGCATCGGTCGGAACTCGAGGGCAGCTTTCTTTCTCTCGGAGGTGCTCGCAGCGATTGCGATTGCCGGGAGCGGGGCCTCTGAGGGCAGGACTGAGAGCAGCCATACTGCTCACTCCGCCCGCCCTGTTGATCCCTGGGACCCCACCCCACCCAAGCTGTGCAC